CACTTGAAACCTACTGTACAGTAGAGCACCTTTTTAAAATTAAATTAAGTAGGTAGGAATTCACAGTCGAAAAGCTTTTTTTCTGGTTTAATGCTGAAGACACAGGTATTGTTCAGTGGCGGATACATCTTAATTCTGAGTGGGGTAGAGAATTTCAAATCCACATAGATATTGAATGACGTTTAACCCCTCCCCCCCAGATATCCACCACTGGTATTGTTTCGAGGTCTTTGTAAGTCATTAATTTTGAAAGTCATGACTGTCATATTGAGAACTTTGAAATTTAATGCTGGTAAAAAAAACGATCCTACGTATATTTAATATATTTAAATTGCTACGTAAGAACTTATGAGGAACTCAGGAACCTTGTATTAAATGTTCAAGCTTTTTGATCCAGCAAAATAGTTTTTATGGAGTATTGACATATTTTAGGTATAGTTGTACAGAAAATATTAAAAATAAGAAGAAGGTCTAAATGCCTTCTACTGTAGAGGGTAAAAATATTTTTAAAGTAATATTATGTACCTATACAAAATGGTAGGTAATATCAACATTTAAAATGTCTAAGTATGTTAAATGTTAAAGTATCTATTTTTATAATTTTTCCTTTGTAAGGTTATTAACTTATTATTTTTTGAATTAAAATATAATTACATTAAATCATAATGAATCTGTTGAAAACTGGTTTTGGGTCAAAATTCCAGTTTTTCCCAATCGTCAAGAAAAATACTGGGAATTTTTACTTTTGATCCCTGCAGTACCAGCCAGAAAAATATTTAAGTATTAAGTTGAAAATCTAAGCATTTTAATTGCTCCAAAAGTTGAATATTTAAAGCAGTTCATTAGTTATACCTAGTATTTAATATTTATAAGTTATAAGTTATAACCAATATTATGATAAGTTGTTTGTTTTTTTGCCATTATTTTAAATACAATCATACAATTGAAGAAAATCTGATCTTAAAATAATTGGATATTAATTATTCACAAGGTTCACCATTTATATTGTAATAATTAATAACAAATTAAGCAATACATTTCCTAAATTATTATTTATTAATTATTATACACAATAGTGAACATTTTCAAACGACTACCTATGTCCTATACTGTCTAAAGTGCATTCTCGAGGATGCAATAATTTAGGACCACTTTTAAAGGACACTAGAAAAAGTATAATACATTTATACATTAATTATTAATATACCTATACCTATGTCCTATTAAAATTACAGTTTGAGCTAGGTATTGTATGATCGATTAAAGTTATCAAAATATTCTTCATAATATTAAGGTGTTCTTACTGAAATGTAAAAAATACAAATAAGCTTAGTTTAGTGTTATGGACTATGGGGCTATGAAATCTACGAATTCATTGACCATTGTAACGAAAGATAGAATAAGTAACACATGATTAATACTCTCAAGCTCAACCTTACATAATATATAAATTATAAACCAAAGCTGGGCAAGTTAGTCACTTTTTTCAACTAGTTAAAGTTAAGTTACTTATAAAAAGTAACTAAGTTAGAATATAAGTTAGTTTCTGAAATTTACCAAATTTCTAACTTGAATAGAAGTTGGTCCGGTGTAAATAATAACTTAAGTTAGAGTTGGAGTTAGAAGTTTTTTTAGTTTAAAATATAAATTAAAAAAATAATTTTTCAAATGTTATGTATTACATTAATTAATTATTAAGTAAGTAGGTAGGTTGGTTAGTACCTAACTAACTTGAATTATTGGTGATGAATGTAAAATTAAATTGAACAACTGTCAACTGATAATTTGATTAAATGTATCAAATAGGTAGGTAGGTCAATAAGTAATAATCTTATTTTCTTGGAGTAGGTATCAGTCATCAGAATATGGAAAGTTTAACAAAATAAGAAATTGAAAAATTCAACCAATGAAAAAAAAAACTAAAAGATAACTATAGTTACTTATTATTTTTAAAGAGTTAGATCAAATTATTTTACACATTGAATTCAACTAGTCAAGTTACAATGTAATATGAATTGAAACTTAACTTTCTTACTAGTTAGTTGCCAAACTGTTATCTGGGTAGGTACCATCAAAAACTATTAAATAAATCAATAGATTCCTATACAACTATACTAGCTCATTAAATAATTGTTACACGTATCTACTGTATTTGCATTCCCTGTAGTCATACGAAAATAAAAAAATTGAATAATTGAAAACCAGGTGCAAATTATGAGTGTTTAGAATTCAAGTTTAACTCATCCATTACGATTACAGGTTAAATTTGTAGATTTTACAACGATGTGTGTTTTATTGTCTGTCTGTCATTACGTTTTGGGTATAGAAAAATACTCGGATTTTCAAAAGCAACAAATAAAAATTAAATATTTCGAAAATAACTCTCGAGAGAACACAAACAATGCCGAAACCTTTAAATATAAATGTATAAATATATAATATAGGTCTATATTATAAAAGTCTATCCAGTTTAATTAGTCAATTTCTCATGTTAGGTACTCTCTTGTGAGATAGTCAACAAAGAGGTCATGGCGTCCTCTTAAATAAATAATCATATGGTTATTAAAAAATTACCAAATATAAAATTATTCAAGTAGGTAATTTATATTTGTTGATAAATACCAATACATTGATTAATCGCCACAGCTGGTGCCTCCATAGTTTCCAAAGCTCTTTTTTGAATATTAGTAATCGTCAAAGCCATCTGTAATATTAAAAACATACTATTTACAAACCTTTAAAAAAATATATTTTTAATTATTAATTTGAAATAAAATAAATTAATTTACAAAAAATAATATTGTATTTTTATTAAACTCCACTAATTATTTGTGGATTATTTTAAGGCATATAGGTACTAAGTAAATTTATTTTGTATAGTATCATGGGACATGGATTATGGATAACATCACATAACTAACTAATCGTGGTTGTTGAATATTATGATGGTTATAAGAAAGTGGTCACTTGTAACCTCTTTAAATCCTACCATAAATCAATTTTGTGAAAAACATACATTTCAAAATTCATGAAATAATACATTGTGGGCCGCCCGCTTACCCAGAATAGTAGGCCGGTACCCTGCCAGTCCGGGTCTGAGCTTAGGTACACGGAGAACTATTAAATTTGATAGACTTGTCAAAATAGTGGTTTCAAATCATGTTTAAGCCTCAAGGTCTTGTTCACCTAGTTCCTACCGGATGGACCACGGCTAATAATCTGGAGGTGTGAAAAGGCCGTGAGGGGAAAAAAATGTCGAGGGTCTAATATTTTTTTAACACGGATACTGGGCACTTGTAATTTTTACGTTCAAAAACTTCGTATTTAATTTTTTTACTTTTAAAAATGTCTGGTGGGCGGGAGGGTCAGGACTTCTATGGTATTCATGGCCTTGTGGCTTGTGCGGTGAAAACGGTCATGGGAACAGTCCGGCGGTGAAACTATCGTGGTGAAAGGCCGGCGGTGAAACACAATCGTGGCGAATAGTTCGTCGGCGAATAGTACGGCGGCGAATAGTTCGTCGGCGAAACGAACTTGACCCCTTATACAGGGTCCGTCAGAACAAACGCATGTTTTTCGAAATAATACTACGCTAAAAGTCATTTCTTTAAAATAATTTTTATTTCATCAAAAAATGTAGAAACATATGCAATTTTTTTTACTGTAACAAAATTTAGGTTTTAAAAATAATGTCAGTCATATGGCGCCCTTGAGCCGCAATGCAGGAATGCAGGCGCTCCCGAAACGAGTCCATCGCGTCGGTCAGCATCTGTCCTGGAACTTCACCCACAACTCGTGTGATCTCGTTCTTCAATTCATCTAGGGTTTGTGGCTTGTATTGATAGACTTTTGATTTTAAGTGACCCCACAAAAAAAAATCACACAATGACAAGTCAGGGGAGCGAGGGGGCCACAGAACGTCACCAAAGTGTGAAATGAGACATCCGGGGAATTTTTGGCGAAGAACCTCCATTGAGGTACGAGCTGTGTGTAATGTTGCCCCGTCTTGTTGAAACCACACTTTTTTAATACTGACATGTCGTCTTTGAAGCTCAGGGTGAAGTTCCGGGACAGATGCTGACCGACGCGATGGGCTCGTTTCGGGAGCGCCTGCATTCCTGCATTGGGGCTCAAGGCCGCCATATGACTGACATCATTTTCAAAACTTAAATTTTGTTACAAATGTTACAATAAAAAAAAATTGCATATGGTTCTACATTTTTTTATGTAATAAAAATTATTTTACGGAAATTACTTTTAGCGTAGTATTATTTCGAAAAACATGCGTTTGTTCTGGCGGACCCTGTATTATGTCTATACATTATACGACTGGTAACTATAATATTGTTAAATAATAAATATTATTTAGTTGAATTAGTCGTAACTATATAAGTGTGTGAATATAACTATACAGATTTACCTATGCGGCTATGCAGTGCCTTAGCTAGGGGAGTGGGTTCTTGAGCTCAAGTCACAGTGTCGAAAAACTCGAAAACTCGAATGCGCAAAATAATACTTGTAAGTTGTAGTTTGTACGAGACAAAGATCATACGATAATACGTTCTATGATAATACGTCGTTATGAAGCAGTCCACGCCATCTACCGGAGAGCACGAACGCCACGCAAAATCGATACAAGCTCACGGAGACGAACAGAACCGGCTCGCATCGACGCAACACAGATCGCGTGCAGGAGCACACGGTCTCTCTTGGTACGGGCACAAAAGTTCGACTTTAAATACTCGGTTGAAAACCATAACGAACCGACACCCAGAAATCGTCGTACAGAACAGCAGATGCCACTGATGCCAGCATGAACGTGCAGAAATACCGACCGACCGATACACAGTTCGAATAAATCTTTTACCTTGTTATTATTTCTGCGCTCGTTCGTTAAAGTAACTTACTAACTTCGCTGCTAAGCGGAATCTGCGACGTTTGTGTCGTACTGTTTCACTGTTGGTGTACACAGTATTCAACAATCAACAAGCACTTAGCACCTATGCGTCGTAGTCGTCGTTGCTGGCGCGTTGCTGTCGTAACCGGTCGCACATAGTACATACCGCCGCCGCTTTACTGTTAACCATCGCGGTACCCGCCGGTCCTACCGCGACTACTCTGTTACGAACACGTCGTAACCGGTCGGTCATACCGCCGCCGCTGTTACTGTTAACCATCGCGGTACCCGCCGGTCCTACCGCGACTACTCCGTTACGAACACGTCGTAACCGGTCGGTCATACCGCCGCCGCAATTACTGTTAATCATCGCGGTACCCGCCGGTCCTACCGCGACTACACCGTTACGGACAAGTCGTAACCGGTCGGTCATATTATCGCCGCCGCTGTGTTTACTGTTTACACTTTACATCACCGCGGGACGTCCTAATTACACCGTCGCCAGTGCGTTATTATCAGGGCTAGGATTTGTATGCAATAAAAAATGGTAAAATGTGCATTTTATTTACCAAAAATATGCATTTAAATTTTATAAGATAAACAAAAAAATATAGTTATTTGTTAAGATACATCAGTGATTGGCTGTTTGTCGTAATATACCTAATTGAGAAAAAAAAATAATTTAATTTATAATTCACATTCACTACGTGTGCTACATGCTACGAGTTACGACCAGGTATTTTTTTTAAATTTTCGAAAATAAATGTCAAACCATTCAATCTTTTATTGCATACCTATTGTACCATAGGATTGTATTTATAAAAATAAAATTTATGTTTGACAAAAAATCAAGTTTCATGAAATATACTATAAAACATGCATTTTTCGCATTCTTATAATCGAAATATGCAATAACATTAATTTTATTCAATATAATATGCAATAATATGCATTTCATAATATGCAAAAACATGCAAAATAAAAATACCACCATTTATTTCTTCATGAGGTGATTCGTGGACATTACTGACAAAACAATGATCAGAAGTCGCAAAAAAAACATGCTGTTGCACATAAATCCTAGCCCTGGTTATTGTACAACGGTCGAGGACAGTTTTACCTACTCTAACCAACACACGGATATTGCTACACATGATACTCCAATCCAGTCAACAACACACCTATGAACTACTGTCGAAGGAAGAAAGATTGTTCCCAGACGATTCCACATCGAGGACAAGTGTGCCCCCCCTCGATAGTCGTATTACGTCTCATTGCTGCTGCCATACACCGAGAGCTGAGCAACAGTCCAAATACCCAGGAGTCAACATGAGTTTATGATTAATATTGTCAATAAATAAAAAAAAAGCATATCTGTAACTCAAAGAGTAATAATTGTAAACTGAAAAGAAAATATTGTACACTTTAAATAATTATTCATATCATGTGAGAATAAAAGCACCATTGAAAAATTTATTTACAACTGCGTTGCGTATTCTTACACATTTGGTACTGACCGATATATTTTTATTGGGTAGGTCAATGAAAAATGTATTAACTATATGTGTATGTCTTATTTGTCTATACTCTATACATTATACGACTGTTGACTATAATTTAGTTGAATTAACTGTAACTATATGAGAGTGTAAGTATAACTATACAGATTTACCTACGTGGCTATGCATTGGGTATAATTTATAAACATAGACGATATTACAACATATGATTGACAATATTGTACTGTTCCATATTTTCATTGAGGTCATCCAAGTTTCAAGTTTTGGTCAGTAGGAAGCTTCAATGCACTTTGATGTACCAATGATTTCATACAACACCACCTACCTGTTGAACTTTTCTACGATTAGTACGATTGTTATTTACAGGACTGACCTTAATACTTCCATAAAAATTAAATTATAAACTCTAGGTAATTATTATTTAAACTAATTAAAATAATTACTTAGATATTTTGATACTAATTTTCAAATATGAAATAATTTAACATTTTTACCTACCTACGTATAAAATATACAATCCATTTATTATTTAAGAGTAGGTAATCAAATTAAATAGATAAAATATCTTCGTAAAATTATTGTACCTATTCATAAAATTATGGTGTAAACATTGATTAATATTTAATCAATAGTGTGAATACGCAGCTTTTTCTGTCATCGGTAGGTATAGCACATCTTAATTTAAAACAATCTAAAATTAAGAGTTGGCGTTTTTATTACTTCTGCGTTCGTCCGCCAAAAGCCTAGAGCCCCACCTTGCCTGAGTAAATTACTTTTAAAAAGTAATGAAATGGATACATTAGTATTCTCCACCAGAAAATCCAGATACTAAATTTAATTTTCATATATTTTCGTATTTTATATTGCTAATATGCATAATACAATAATTTATTTTGTATTTTCTTAAATCTCGTTTATGTTGACTGGAAAATAGTAGAAACAGTTTTGTCATGTATGTGAATTCATAAGAAAAATACCCACATTTGCGTTTCATATTAATATAATAATCTAGTTATGAATATTTGTAGGTAGCCCATCGAACAGCATACAATTATGATCTATGACCCCTAATCGGTCGCATTAATTATATATATTTTTGTCAAGAATATTATTTCATACGTATTTCAGTCAGTTCTCTCCATACTAATACGAAATAATTATTTTTCATTTTTACATTTTTTTACACATTACATTTAGATTTTAATTTTACAATAAAACAATATGTAAACATAGTTTAAAGTTAAAATACTCATGGATTAGACTAAATTTATTGAAACTATGACAAAGATTAAGACATATTTATACGCCTCAGTACTTGCCTTAAAAGTAATATCGACTTTTGCAATTGAAAACGATTATTGAGGATACTTACCTCGAACATATTTATATGGGTCTAAACTTGTCTTAAAACTAATAAAAGTGTACACTTGAGAAAATACTCTTCAGTTAAGTAACCTATCATTTACATTTAGGAAATAATAAACAAACTTTACTAATTCTAGATATTAATAAATAGTTTATTTTTTTTGAAATTATACATTTGAATTTTTTTCTTATAATTCTACAATATTTTAATTTTAGTACTTTACTACTGTATACAAATGTAGTTTAATGTAATGTTATGCCCCCCTCCAATTATTGATTAAGCTTAGATTATTAAAACTATGACAAAGATTCAGACATAAATGCATAATAATATATTATTAAACTTGAATCTTAAATGTAATTCATTGTTTAACATTTCTACTCATAACCATAGTATTATTAGTATTAAATGAATAAAGCATTCTTATATAAATTGCATTTTCTCATGGAGAGGAGTAAAACAACTAATAAATATATATGTATGTATAGTAATTATAGAATTTCACTTTTCTATTTTACAGTATGCAAAGTATGCAAGTTGTCATAATTCAAAAACTATAAAACTATGAAAACAATTTACTAATATTTAGATTTTTGTAAAATGCCTTTAACATAAGTATGATTGGAAATTGAATATTAATATTACTTAAGTACATTGTTAAAATATATTATAAGATCACCTCGAAAATCACTAATATAAAACAATAGATTACTTTTATGTAAGTAGAAACTAATTACTGTTAGTTACTGCAACTTTTTTAAACATTATTACATTATGTTAATTTAATTTAAATCTTACTACCAGTATTTGTATAATTTAAGTAATTCATTTTTTGGTGTCATTTTTAAATATATCTTTTACCTAAATAATTTATACAAAAATAAAAATTAGTGGTTTAATTTCTAATATTATAATAAATAACACAGTCTCCTAATTTATGCCACTTTAAAGTTACTGATAAGAAAATATAAAAAAAAAACTAAAAAGGGAAATTTTAAATTATATAACTGGAGCTTATAAAAATAAAATTGCACTGTTTGAAGGATTATCATTATAGATTGCGGGCTGCGGCTAACATAAACTACATAAACTTTTGTTTTAACACTTTTGTAGTTTCTTGATCAGTTTCTTCTTTTTGTTTAACATCTGCAGATCATTGAGTGAAGACATTGTCATTCAACATCATATCTCTATCGACACTGCCTTTGTTGTAATTCTGTTGATTTTTGTCTTCATCTATAGGAGACTCCACTTGCTGAATATTTTCTTGAGTTATGGATGGTTCCGGTTTCATAACTCTAGTTGTAACCGGACAAGAATCTTCAGTTTCTCTTTCCTAAAAATAAAATAAAATAATTAGGACATGAAGATTTGTCAAAATATTTAGTTTTTCATTTACTCCATTTCAGGTTGTTTGAGCTGGCTGATTATGGTCTGTGGCAATGTGTTCAAGGCAATTAATTGGACTACCATAGTATTTAGAACACAATTGACATCTACAAAGTCGTTTCTGCTGTTGCTTTACCTGAATTAAATAAAATATTTAATAAAATTAAAATTATATAAACTAAAGTGTGTATTTCTATAATGAAATAACAATAAAACATGGTAAGTCAAAAACAAAAAAATCAACAAAAATACCGTGGTTGAATTGTAGTGTGTACAATGCATTTTGTCGACGTATTTGTATGTACCAAAAACCGAAGTCGCAGAACTCAATTTATTATTCTATTGATTATGCTGGTTGAATTATAGTTGATCATCGAAGTGTCTACTGGTAACAAACAAAAAATCATTATAGGAAATCACTAGAAACTTGAAAGTTCTTACTTTGATACATTTTTGAGAAAAATGCAACTCTTGGGCTTATCTTGGCATTGTGTAGATTCTTTGTGACGTACCGGGGTGCTCCAGGCTAAAATAAGTTATAAATATAAATTGTAAGACAACATTTAGGGGGGCTAGGATATACAAAAATTATAGTTTTAAATAATAATCAAAAATATTATTAATTTCCCAGGAATTTATGTTAGGTATTAGTAGAAACTCGGAATCAAAAATAAAATGAGTTATGATTTACAATCGAGTCTCGATAATTCAAATGTCAAGGGAGATAAAAATTAATTAGACTTATGTATTTTTCAAGTTACATAACTCAAATTTTTTTAAAAATACAAAATAATTTGAGTTGGACATTATTTTTTTTTATTTAATTTGCTTTTGAAATATTATTATCTGTATATTTATAAACTGCAGTTAAAATTAAATTAAAATTAAATTAAAAAATTAATTTGATTCATAATCTAATGGATATGTTTTAATACAGTACAGTACTAGACTCTGCTAGAGACGGTCGTGTTTATCGCGCATCCGTCCGTTAACGTATAGTTTACGACTCGTGGTTTTAAGATAACATTATGTAATGGTTTTATGTGTATTATGTTCATTAACTATCAATAGAAATCAACTCTCTATCACCTGTTGTCTCTGTAATTTACTTTTTCATAAAAACTGTGTCTTTAATACTTCGGATTTAAATTCGTGGAA